TTATACTCCATGGGTTTCAATCAACCCTATGATCAAAAGAAAAAAGATTTAGTAAAGGTATCCAATGATTTATTCCCTTTGGCCTGAATATATTTTTTTTAATTGGTATTATTTATTCTAAATCACTTTTATTGATGACCATGTGAATACCTAACCGGAGACATCATTTGAGTGGCATGTCATATTGCCCAACCCTTTATATATAAATTAATTATTATTTAATTTGTTTCTCCCATATCTCTAATTGTGGAAAAGTGTCCCGTAACCGACGTTCTACCAGTATGGACACGTGAACTTGTGTCAATTGATCCGAAACTCAAATAATTGAATGGAAATAGGTGTAATTCGATATTTCAATTTCCACTATAACTTTTTTTGTTATCACTTATCCCATCAAGGGAAAAAATAGCTAGCTAGGATTTTATTTATTTTTTAATCCAAAAGTATTATATATTTGTGGACCTGAGGTTAATAAAAAAAAATAGAAAAAAGAAAAAAACCCACATTCCATATTTATTGCACCATTATAAGGTGGGGTTCAATCAATCATGTTTGTACGAAAAAAAAAATTATATGTACATATAACTCATTCCTATAAAAACCTATGATTGGGTTTATTATTACTGTAATAATCTTAATTTGCTGGAAAGAAGTAATCACTTGATTGTGAGGTTTTCTGAAAAATGATGATTTGAACTTCTTTTTACATCCTGTCATTATTCGGAATTTAATAATTAATTAAGAACAAAGTTATAACAAAAACATTATAATAATTCAAAATGGGACATTCCATAGACATTTTTTCCCACAATTACATCCACTTTCTGTAATTTGTAAATTTCTTAATATAACACCCTTTTATAAAGGGCAGATGTAAGAAGTTTACAATATGCCGTGGACTAGATGTAATTTCAACAAAATGAGGGGTTTTTTTGTAATTAAACTTTATCTCAGGAAGGTGATTGTAAATTATGTTAGATATATGTGTTATCTTGTTAAGGTTAGATAAGAAGTATCTTTCTTTGCCTCATTTATGACTTATGAGGAGGAGACTATCAAATAATGAATGAGAATTTTTATATTTTTTTTGGTAGGTCATGAGAAATATTATTCATTCCTTTACTTATCATATCTGAAAATGATATATACAATAATAATCTTCCGAAGACAGTTTAACGTTCAAAGGGAGTTCAACCGTGTCGATTATTGGAGGAATCGTGAACGGCCAAACAAATTGTTAATACAATCATTTAAAAATCTAAAATATCTCATTAAAAATCAGATTTTTTTTTTATTTTTTTTTTTTAGCTCGGTTTTGATCTTTTTTTTTTCTCTTTTCTCGAAATAAATATATATATTTGCTAAACTTTTCAATTTGGACCTATAATTTTTTTGAAATAAACATCATTTATTTAATAAAAATATAATTTCGAAGTTCATGTCTCCTTTAAATATACATGACTCAAAATGTATCTTCTCAAAATAAATTTAATTTTTTTTAATATATCATGTCATAATACAATTATAAATAAAGTGGGCCAAATCATAAGCCAGCGGCCTGCAATTAATTGACAAAAGGCCCACTATTTCAGGGACCATATTTAAATGAAAACCAGGGGGGACTAAATTGACATGACGTTGATGAACTGTGGCCTCACCGTCCAATCACATCTTCCAAACTAGCCATCTTTCACCAATGTTGATACATAGACCTAGGGCTGGGACTGGGTTGGGTCGGTTGATTACCAGCCTAAAAACCGACCCATCCGTCAAACCATTTTTGCTCAAATTTGAAAACCGTTGTCGACCCAACCTTTATGGGTCGGTTGATGGTTGACAACCGAATATTTGGTTCCGAAATGGGTCGGTTGATGGTTTATACCCGCCACCTAGTTCACTTAAAAAAATTCAAACATTGGAGTAAAAATATCCACATTCTGCGTAATGTCATGGTGGTGCGATCATCATTTATCAGTTTAAAATAATTAATAACAATTTAACGAAAAAATATAATTATAAAATTCAAAGTAATTTCAAACATGCACAAGAGATTTAGTGGAGTTTTGGTGGTTTTTTGTTTAAGTTTGGGCATAAAGAAACTGGTGGAAGATTTTGGTCAAAATATTTTCGGTTGTTGATTGTTTTAAAATTTATAATACTAATTATTTTGATAATTTCAATAACCACTTAAGAAAACACGGCTTTTATTTTATATTTTTAATTAAATTTTAATAGTATAGTTGGATGACCGATAAATATCGGTCAACCAACTTTTGATAATATTATAAAACACCAACCGACCCATTATAGATGGGTTGGTTGAAATTTTCGACCCGATCCAATGGGTCGGTTAAAAATTGATTATCCACCTAAAAATATGGTCGGTAATGGATCGGTTGGTGGATAAAAACCAACCCACTCCCAGCCCTACATGGACCATGGGGTAGATGCTTTGTTTACTTACATTATGTATGATAATTTTTTTTTAAATTACTTCTTGGTGAGCACATTATTTAACTAATGTCATGATTTATTTTTGGCAATTAGCATAAATTATAAATTTGCTAGCCGGCAGTAATAATTGAACAATAAATATAGGGTTAAATACAAAAACACCCCTGTACTATGGACTTTGTATCATTTACCCCCCCTGTACTATACATAAACTAGATTTTTGGCCCGTGCGATGCACGGGATTGAAGTAAAATTAATACAAAGTAAAGTTCAATTTAAACGACAAAATTGAAGTTTCAATTCATTTTGATATTTTGCTATATATATTCATGATAATCCCCCATCCATGAACTTTTTTTTGCCATATTTATTAATTTAACTTTATATTTTTTATGTAATATGGTTGTATATTTATCTTATCTCAGTTAATGTTGAAGTTTCACGAATATTCTTCTTTATCACCCATAATAGGCCTTACTGTAAATCAATGATGCCATTAAATCTTAAGAGTTTATCATGAGCAACTTTACTTTTATTAATAAGATAAGAACCAAATATTTTTCTAAACAATTAAATAATTTTTCCATCAAATTAATATTAAGTAAAAATGACAATTTTGGTGGGAAAAGATACGTAAATTTGGGGCGAAATAGTCTGGATACTTAATATAGTATAACAATAAAATTAATTAATTAAATAAATGACAATTATAATTTATAACTATCAAATGAGCGGTAAGAACCAAATGTTCTTCTAAAAAATAAATAATTTTCCCATCAAATTAATATTAAGTAAAACGACAATTTTAGTGGGAAAAGATTATTTTTATTAATAAAATAAGAACCAAATGTTTATCTAAACAATTAAATAATTTTTCCATCAAATTAATATTAGGTAAAATGATAATTTTAATAAGAAAATATACGTAGATTTGGGGCCATAAAGTCTAGAGAGACTTATTATACTTGATTATAATAAATATAATCTTATTATAGTTGATTATAATAAATATAATAAAACAATAAAATTAATTAATTAAATAAATGACAATTATAATTTATAACTATCAAATGAGCAGGAAAATTTTCATAGCATTTTACTAATATGAGTAACCTTACTTTTATTAATAAGATGACAAAAAAATTAAATTATTATATAAATAATTATTATAAAGAACACATAAAATATAAAAAACGGGAATTAAATTGTGATAAAGAACACACACAATATATATATATATATATATATATATAAAGGAATTAATCTAATACTTTGGAAGAATCAGACAAAGAAAGAGGAATTGTACATTAACCCGGTAAAAAATATTATAAAAAGGAATTGTATTATGATAAATAACACAAAAAAATGTTAAAAAAATATTGAATCTAAATTACACGACGAATAGAGATGATATCTAACGCAGTGGAACGATCTCTGCCCCTATTTTTTTTAGAATGGAGAAAAATAAAAAACTGAACAAACCTTTGGAAAACTCCATATATATAAACATTAACACATTCATCATATCCCATTTCGACAAATCACACAAATTTGAGAAAAAAACGGATGAAATTTATTGGATCGAATTAAATCCAGAAAATTTGAGATTGAAGAGATTCCAAAAAAAAAAAAAAAAAAAAAAAGGTTGTAGGTTGATGAACAAACTTACTTGTTGACTAATGGAGTTTATTTTTGCGAAGAGAAAGATACCCACACAGAAGTGGGAAAAAGATATTAATAGGTGTTTAAGAAAGACATAGGAGAGGCGTGTGTACAGAGAAGAGGGGGAGAAAGATAAGTATCATATGAGATATTTATGCATAGTTAGATTTAGGGAGAAAAATATGAGAAATGAAGTAGTAGAGGCGTGTAGGATTTTAGAGAGATGTAGATTTGGGGTACAAATCTGGAGAAAGAGAACTTGACTTGAAGAAGGATTCATAGATTCGGTGTGATGAAAAGATGTGGATAATTCGGAGTATGAAGAACCGTGAAGATGAAGTGGAGTGGGTGGAGCACAAATTGCCGTGGGATTAGTTATATGTGGCTGGTTTGCGCAGATTTTGGTGGAGTTGGTTGGGGTTGGCCGGAGTGATGGTGGTCGAATAAGAATGGTGGGTTGCCAAATTTGGGGAAGAAGAAATTGTGAGATAATGAAAGGGGGAAACAAAATTTTACACAAAAATGAAGAATATGGATATAGATGCTACATATATAAAGAAGAAGAAAAAAAAAAGGGGGGGGGGGTGTGGAGAATTGTGAAGGAGATGAGGTGGAGAGGAGAGAGATGCAAAGTAATAATAAAATAATAAAAGTAAGAGAAAAAAACAATAAAAGTAAAAAATAATTAAATGACAAAAAATAAAAGTAAAAAATAATTAAATGACAAATATAGCCATAAAATGAGCGGGAAAAAAAACCCTAGGGTTTCACCATAACAACCTTACTTTTATTAATAAGATACAAAAACCCCCCTCACATTGCATTTTTTTCTAGAATATGACGAAAATACCCCTACTCAAGCATATATATATATATATATATATATATATATATATATATATATATATATATATATATATATATATATATATATATATATATATATGGGGCTATTATATATATATATATTACCGTATACATAGATGTATATGTAGAATTTATTTTAAATAAACTCTTTATCTCCGATCAAGCTAATTGTTTCTTTGTGTTTTATTTTCGAGAAAAAACCCCCCTCTATCCAGACCCCCCTAAACCTCCCCGCTTCAACTGTAGAAATTTATCCCTGATCAAAATAAAGCCTAATCATTA